TTAACGGGAGAGCACCTAGCTTGTAAAAGAGTGAGTTTTAGATACCTGCTGGGTGGACTCTCCCCCTACCCCAGCCCCTGGGTGAACAAGTACTTGGATGCACTTCTCTGCCCATACCTAGGCCAGGCAGCCTCTGCCCTCCTGCTCTCTTTTTGGGGAGGAGAGGACCCCCCTCCCTGAAGAGGTCTCTATAGGTAGCTGGCTCTCTCAGACCCCCACCCCACAGGACTGCAGAGGCTTTGCTGCAGAAGGCCCTTTGAGAGTCCGTGCTTTTCCATGCCGACCTACTAGGGGAAAGCAGCTCTCAAAGGTCCCCAGGAATATCAACCTCAGTTTGAGGAGAGCTGTGCCTGCCAGCTGAGACCCCATTGACCTTGCTTGTCGGAGGGTTTTGGAAGTCCACCTCCCTTGCCTATTGCTCTGCCCTGGCTCCTCCTCCTCAAGGCACTCCCTCCCCACCCTACTTAAATCTGTTCTAGGCTGCGCACACGGCTGTCTGTGTGTGCCCTGACCTGCTGATCTCAATGTGCTCTCCCCGTCCCCCACACCCAGCCCAGGACCCTGTACCCCAGGACCCAAGCCCGGCACTGAGCAGTACTCAACAACACCTGAACAAGTGACTGTTCACCGCCTGCGGCAGCGGGGCTGGAGTCCCAGGTGCTCTCTGCCTCCCACAGCCTCTCTGCTGCGCACACAGACCCAAGCCTGCGTCTGGCCTCCGCCTTCTGGACCCTAAGCCGGGTCTTTGGCTGGCCCACTGCTCCAAATAGAACTCTCCAGTCTAGGTCCCATCTTGCCCTTCCCAACCACATGCTCCTCCAAGTTGATCAAAGAACTTACTCAGGCTTGGGCTGAGTGCTCAGGTAGAATCTGGAAAGGCACCCAGGCCTCAGAGTCCAGTCCGTCTGTCAAGACAGCTCCAGGCAAGGCTGGACTTCAGGTCAGGGGAGCCATGGGCTACTGGGCAAGGCCTGGTCATTGCCACGGCTCATGGCCACAGGAGGTCACCAAGCTAGGAGGGAAAATGGAGTGGGAGGAGTGGACGGAGTGGACGCCAGGATTGCTCAGCCAGTGTCTCCCATCTCAGTACACAGACGTGCACAGTCTTAGAGGGAGTGAGCAGAGCTCTGGTTCCTTACCCATCCTCATCTTTTGGGGCCTGAGACAAATGGGAGCCCATACACCATAGAGCCAAAAACGTGAATGTTTTAAACGAAGCTTTAGAAAAGCTAAAATACCATTGACAAATTTACCATCAAAACAAACTGGACAGGGACTTCCCTGGTGGTCCAGTGGTTAACACTCTGCGCTTCCAACACAGTGGGCACAGGTTCTATCCTTGGTCAGGGAACTAAGATCCCATGGGTCACGCGTGCAAAGAAAGAAAAGAAGCGAGAGTCCAGTGTGAGTTTAGTTTCCAGGCCCCTTGGCTGCACAGAGAGAGCTTGGCCCCAGCTGGAGACCTGACCCATTCTGCCCTGCAGGGGCCCAGCATGCGTGCATGTGCCCCCAGCCTAGACGTCTCCACCCCCCCCCCCCCACCGACAGCTGCCCCCTGCTCAGCAGCTCAGCCCATTCTCTGCAGGGGATGGAGACTGGGAAAGGCCACAGGCTCCAGGTGGGCACCTCAAGGGCACAGGCAGGGCAGCAGGGTCTGAGCGCGCTCTAGACAGCACACTTCTCCTGGGGGAGGGGAGCTAGGGAGAGGGTCATGGGCGCTGGTCAGGTCTGGTGAGGGAGGGCCAAGAGGTGAGTGGGGGTCCACCCTGGGGGCTGACACGGGGGCAGAGTTACTCAAAGCAGCCGGCTCTGACTCCGGGCAGACAGACCCAGTCAGAGCTGCATCCAGAAGGGTGGCTGTGGTCACTGGGGAGGGGACCATAGCTGCCAGGAGAGAGAGGCTGGTGGCCCCCGGAGTGGGTGGAGTAGAGACATCAGGAGATGTGAGCACCCTCCACAAGGTACCAAATGCGGGCCGCCCACTGTGAGCAGGCTCACCCCCCAGGGCACCCTGGTCATCCACTTTCCCACAAGCCTGGCCTGGAGGCCTGATGGGCAGTGTCGCAGCTCCCAACGGGATGTCGGGTGCCCCCTGGCTCTGCTCGCCTCTGGTCAGTGGGCCCCCAGACCAGCAGCACCAACTGCTCAAGGATCTTGCTAGGAATGCGGGCTCAGGTTAAGCCCGGGTCTCCTGATCACAGCAGCATTTAGCGGAGCTCCAGGTGACCCATGTGCACGCATGTCCAAAGCCAGCTTGAAGCCTGCGATGCCTCAGTTTCTCCATTAAAATGAGTCTGGGGCCTCCCTGCTTGCCCTGGCCCAGGGGAAAAGCATGGGGGAGATGGCTATGCCTACTTGGAAGAGCTCTGGGGGACACAGTCCCCCAGACCCCAGGCAGGACCCTGTCCCTAAGACTCCCAGAGCAGGTTGTCAACATAGACACCATGCCTGCGCCTCCTCCTTTCTTCCCAGCTCAACCTGGGCCTTGTGATGACTGCAGAGAAAGGGAAACGGGTGGTTCAGAACAGAGAGAGGGGGACTGAGGCACAGGGGACCTTCTGAGAGCCCCTGGGGACCGTGGGGGCAGGGCAAAGGGAAGCCCAGGCGGCGTGAGTCAGGCTGGCCTGGCTGGCCCAAGCTCATCTCCAGCTAAATTACTAGGTCTGCCCTGGCTGGGAAGCCAGCCATATAAAGGCACCTGCTGCTGGCTCTTCCCCAGTCCCAGCTGGTGGATACCCCACAATGAGGCCACTCCTGGTGCTTCTGCTTCTGGCCATGCTGTGCACTGACCTGGGTAAGGGACGCTGACCTGGGTGGGCGGCGCTGGGCAGGGCTGGCTCCAGTCTGAGGGTCTGTGGTGTCAGTCTGGATGGGAGGCTTTAGAGAGTTGGGGGAGAGGCCATCGAGGCTGCTCCCTGACCGGCCAGACACGGAGACCTTGGCACCCTTTGGGGCACAGTTTCTGGGACACCTGCCTTCCGTGGAGGCGAAAGGCTGCAGTGAGCGGTCTGAGACTGCAGAACTCTGGGCCAAGCAGGGGGACCTGGGTTCCAGCCAGGGTGACCAAGTGTTCTGTTTCCCTGGAATTTCTGGGAGGTGGGACTCCAGTGCTAAAGCAGGAAAAGAAACTGGTCACCCCTCTTCAGCCCCAGCTCTGCCCTTACCTGATGACCTGGCTTTATGACCCTGAACATCAGCACCTGCAGCTTTTGAGGTCACCGGAAATGGGGCCTGGGGAGGGGTGATAGAGCCTGTGATTATTAACTGAATAATTATCACCCAGGGGTAATTAGCCCCATCGCTTCCCCCCACCTCCAGCTTGGCTTGGGGGTGGGTTTGGAGGTGGAGCTGTCTGGGGGAGGCCAGGGTGTGAGCGGGTGTGGAGGGTGGCAGCAGGGGGTGGGGGCTGCAGTTGGAAGGGGGCTCCTTGGGGATCAGTCCCCAATTGGGGGGCCTGGAAAGACAGATGGACATTTGTGCAATGATGTGAGGCTGGTTCGGTGGCCCAGGCAGTGCACAAGGTCACTTCTCAAAAGAGAGCCTGGTGCAGAGGTGAAAGCGGGAATAGAGAGCAGGTGCTGGGAGGCCCAGTTTGGCAGTGGGAATCAAGGAGGTGACCTCTGGTCTTGGCTTTCCTGGGAGCATTAACCCATTAAGGCTCAGCACAGCTCAAGCATATGGGAACTACCTGGACCCTGCGGGGGAAACTGAAGCATTTCAGAGTGTCTCCTGCCCACCAGCACCCAGGACTTGGTCGCACACAGGGGACTAGGAATGGCTGGGGCTCACCCTCAGGCAGAGAGGCCTCTTCTTCTTGGGGAGTTCCAGAACACTGACCTGGGAAGGATGGCCTCTGAGCCTGGGGCTCTGAGAGTCTGAGCTTGGCCTCCTTCCTGCTTGCCCATGGTGCAGCCGCCAGCACCCCGACTCTCCATGTAGAGGGGAGAGTTTTGACATCCGTCGATCCATGTGTGCAAGGACACCCCCACAGGGCACCCCTCCCATAAATCCCCCAGGGACCCCCACAGGTTCCCCTGGCAGAGAGGTGCCCTCTCCTGCAGCACAGTCCTCACACTGCAATAAGGGGCTTCTGGCGGTCCCACCTGCCCACTTGTCCCGTCACAGCTCCTGGGCCCTCCCAGCCTGGTCCCCACCAGCCTGGCCTCCGCCATGCTGCATCTTCTGCCCATGAGTTCTTTCCCCGGATGACAAATAAAAATCCGTTCGTCTGTCTGGGCCCAGCTCCAGGGCCACCCAGTCCAGAAAGCCTTCCCAGACAGCCCTACCCTCTATGAAGACCACAGTCCCTCTCTGCCAGGTGCCCACAGACTGTCCAGTCCACGCCCCACTCCAGCCCCCTCCGGGTTACATGCTGTCCTTTCGTTGGTGACACGTGCATGGCCTATGGGGTCTCCAGGCCGGGAGCTTTGCCCCCATCTCCGTGCCTGTGGGACTTGGAGCCAGGCGCTCAGCACTTGGGGGCTGGCCAGGACCGGACTTTCGCTGCAGACTCCCCGTCCTCCCGCCTGTTAGTCAGCCACCCATAGCACCTGCTGTGTGCAGAATCTCAGAGTCTCGGTCCTCCGGTCCTGGGCAGCAGTCCTGGGCCAGGCAAGGACACTGTGGCCGAGAAGGAGGACTCCAACCGCCTCTGTCCTGGGGGTCACCTGCAGACCCCGTCCACAACCTCTGCCCGCACTCCTGCTGCCAGACTGGCACTTGCAGGGGCCTGCGGGGCACAACTCGTCTCAGGGGACCAGGAGCACCTCCAGGGCAGGAGGAGCAGAGGAGGTGCCCAGCTCAGCCCCAGGCTCAGGCCCCCAGGGTCCCCGCTCCCCATGGCTGCCCAGGGCCTGGCCCAGACTGACCGGGAGCACCCCCAGAGCAGGAGGAGGGAGAGGAGGCGCCAGCCCAGCCCCAGGCCCCCAGGGACCCCCCCCCATGGCTGCCTGAGCCCACAGCCCAGACTGACCGCGGGCCTGTGCTTCCTTTCCTCCCAGCCCAGGCCCTGCAGTGCGAGCCTCTGGTGGAGTGTGCCCCGCCCGACAAGTACTGTGTGATTACTCGGGCCGGTGAGTACCCACACCGGCCCCACTTCCCGCACGTGGGCCTCTCGGCCTAGCCCGGACCCCGGGGACACCACGTCCTCCTGCAGGAACCCAGCAGTGGGGCCCACCCGGGGCTGTAGGGGCAGGGATGACCCATCCTTCTTTGTAGGCTTCACGTGTCTGTGCAAGGGCTGGTTAAGAGAAACTCAGCAACCCAGCAACATTGTCTCCCTGAGGTCCCAGTGCCGGCTTCCCGGTTTGAGTCAGTCCCTGCAAGGCGGTATATCGGGGTCTGATCCCTGGTTCAGGAAGATCCCCTGGAGAAGGAAATGGAAACCCACTCCAGTATGCTTGCCTGGAGAATCCCATGGACAGAGGAGCCTGGCGGGCTACAGTCCATGGGGTCACCAAGAGTCGGACACGACTGACTGACTAACAACAACAGCAATGTAAAGTATCTGGGAGGGAGGGAGGGAGCAGGTAGCCCATGGACTCACCACGACAGGGACAGGCCGCGGGGGCTGTCTGCACAGCCTGGCCTTGGTCGGCAGCTCGGCCAGTGTGCCTTTCCCGGGCTGCCTGCTTTGCACCGTGGGCTGCAGGACCCGTGACCCCTGACCTGGGCACCCTGCACTGTGCTCGGGCCCCCGGCCTGCTTGCCCAGCCACACCGGGACCCTGCCTTCCCCAGGGCAGGCCCACGCCTTCCTTCCACCTCCTGGGATCCCTCCTCAGGTCTGAGCGGCCATGGGCTTGATGGTGCCAATGACAGGCAGGGTCAGGGTGCAGGTGGGGCCCAGGAGGTCACATGGCGGGGGTCTGCTCAGTGGGAACGCTTGGCCTGGATGGGTGGCAGCGATTGGGTAAGGATCTGAAATGAAGGGGGCCCCAGAGAAGAGACGTGATAGTGAGGGGCAGACGTGGGCACTGCGTGAGGGCCCAGCCATGCGGGCTGGGCAGCTGGGTCCAGGTCTGGGAGGGAATGAGGCACCCTGTCCCCTTGCAAGTGTGTACTTAGTCACTCAGTCGTGTGCGGCTCTGCGACCCCGTGGACTGCAGCCTGCCAGGCTCATCTGTCCATGGGATTCTCCCGTCAGGAAGACTGGAGTGGGCTGCCACTTCCTCCTTGCAGGCAGCTGCTGCCACTGGGGTCACATCTGCAGAGGCCCCGCAGAGTCCCCCAGGCTCCCCATGTGAAGCAGGGCAGCCAGGCAGCCTCACAGGGGTCACCCTCTGGGCCACTGCCCCTTGTCAGTCCCAATGACGCAGAGGCCCTTGCAGCCAGAACGCATGACAGGCATCATAGGGTCTGGCCCAGAGCTGCCACGAGTGCACAGCAGGGCTGGGACCCATGCTGGGGTCTATCTCCCCCAACCCAGCTGGCCATCGGCCATGTTCAGCCCAGAGACACCGTGCGGGAGCCAGACACCCCTCTGATGCCTCTTAGAGCCTCTCCCCTTCTGTCAGGCAGAAAAAGACCTCACCTAGAGGCGTGAGAATGTCCCTGTCTCGGGACTAGGGGACAAGCCCTTCTCCTGGCAGAGCCCCAGCTGCCGGGGCCACAGCTGCGAGCTACTTCCCCTCAAGTCACCTGGCAGGTGGCCCTGAGTACCCACTAGGTGTCCCTGGCTCTGGTCCTGGTGTGAGGCAGGGGCCACAAGATTGCTGGCCTCAAGGCGCTTACTAGGGGGAGGTGGCCAGGGCACAGTGAGCCTTGAAGTGAGAAGGAATGGGGGGGGGGTGTTGCTGCTTCTTCCCAGCAATTCCCAGCAGGCCCAGGATGCCCCCTGGGGCTCCCTTCACCCCAAGAGCCTCAGGTCTTTCACCCTGGACAGGACTAGACACCCTGAAGGCCCACAGCTCCATACCGGGGTCGGGAGCTTCCCTTAGACGCCCCAGGTCTGCTGTCTCTGCCTTCATCCCACTTCCCACCTGCCGCTCACCATCCATCTGTCTGTCCACCCTCCTGCCTGGCCAGGCAGCATTCCCTGAGTATCCCTTCCAGGACCAGCAGTCAGACTCAGCCCAGCCCGAGCCAGGGCCTCCCCACACTGACAAGGAGGGAGGGAGCAGTGAGACCCCACCCGAGGGGGATGGTGCTGGGGGGCCTGGGGCAGCAAGTGGAAGGACAAGGGCCCTCTGGCCAGCTCAGGCCTGGGCGGTGGTGGGCTGGTCACTGCTCTGTGTTCCCTGCATCACCCAGAGTGCCTCCAGCAGGTCATGAGTCCTCCGTCAGCCTCAGTCTTCTCATCAGACTGTGAGGACAGTAGCTGGGCAACCGTGGGAGTGGGGGTGGTCTCTGGGCCTCGACTTCTGTGGATCTGCTGAGGAGGGGCCTGAGACCATGGCCCCACAGAGGTCCTTGCCCCAAAGAGCCAGCCCCCACCGGGCGCCAGGCCCAGGGTATGAGGGCATCTTCTCGGTCAGTCCGCTGACAGCCGGGGCCTAATACACCGTTCCTCAGGCCAGGAAGCTGGAGCTCAGAGCCTTCAGGGGAGGGCGTGGCCACACTGGGAGGTGTCTTCTCAGTTGTAACTCAGAAATGGGTTGGCCAATTACCAAACAGAACTCAAGTCTGCTCAACCAACTTGCAGCAAAGCCAGTCGGCTCACACCGGGTGGTGGTGAAGGGAAGTTAGCATTTATTGCAGGATCTAGCAAGGAGAATGGACAGCTCATGCTCAAAAGCCCCAAACTTGCCGAAGGCCGATAAAGGCAACGTTAGGGACGAGGGTGGAAGGTGCACGATCATGGGTTGGTGGCGAAGTTTTTAACTGTGGGATTTTCTGGAATCTTGATCATCTGGTTCCAAGCCATCTGGAGCCCAGTGCTTGTGGTCAGCGTGTAGTCATCATGCTCCACTAGCTGGGGGGTTCTTAGTTTCCAAAGAAGGGCTCACGACAAGCATCAGAGTATCATCCATGCCCCTTCCAGAGGAGCCAGCCACCCTGGCTCTGTCGTCCTGATCATTAGCTGCTCGAATTTGCTCTTTGGAGCTCGAGAAGGGCCAAACAAGAAGAAAGGACATCAAGGGGCTTGTATCCAGGAGACCCCCAAGGTCCTACTGGTTTTACCAAGACTGCCCCTCTTATGTTCTGCCCACAGAAACACAGCTCCTTACCCAAATTACTCAGCAGAGCTGTGATTAATTGTTGCGTTAACTGAATCTACTGCGGGGGTAAAAGGTAAAGACAAACCCCACCCAGTGTGCAGCCCTGGGCTGCCCCCGCATCTAGGGGCTTCCTGGGGAGGCACAGCTGCCCACCTGGGCAAGCTGGTCTTTGCTCGAGGCCCCTCAGAGGGTCTCACTGGCCTATGACCCTCCTGGTCAGGGCGTAGCTTCAACCCGCCAGGAGCAAGTGTTCCTGTCCTACTTGGCCAAGGCCTTGGCCTCACAGAGTGAGAGCCTTCCCGGCACCAGAGGCTCTGACAGCAGCACCCTGAACATGGCTCCCAGCCACGCCTGCCGAAAGCCGATGCTCATTCAGCTTGCTCGCAGCGCTCCGCACAGATGAACCCATCTAACCCTGAACAATTGCACAGTTGGTTCTCTGATTGTCCACATTCTCCAGATGAGGAAATCAAGGTGCTTGGAGACAGACCCTGCATCCTCTCCAGCCTCTGGGTTGACTGTGAACGGGAGTCCCCTTCGGGCGGGCTCACAGTTTCCAGCATGTTCTGCATTGAGAGAAATGACTCACAGTGACCCAGCAACACTGGGCTCTGACCTGCCAGCACCATCATCTCGGGGGCCTCTCTCAGCGGCCACCCACCTCTGGGGCAGGTGCAGAAGCTGAGCCAGTGTCCACGGAGGAAGGCATCTTGCCAAAACGTCCCGCTCACTCCCCAGGGCCCTGGCTCACCCTGTCTCCCTGCATGAGGGATGTGAAGCTCTGAAGGCAAATGTGCAGGCTGCCCCATGTCCTCTAGCCCCCACCCACCTTTTCTAGGGCTTGCCAGACCCACAAAGGGACAGGTGAGCACAGGGCCTGGCCTTCCCTCTGGAACCTGAAACCCAGAGCAGAGAAGTGCCCCCACGTCCGTCAGAGGGGCTTGGAAGACAGGCAGGGCGTGGGAGCCGCTGTGTCAGTCCCTGGCCCCGGGCATCAGGGAGGAGCTGGTGGGAGTGGGAGACAGGTGCCCACATGCTGGGGAGCCCGGAGCCCGGAGCCGGCGGCCCCTGCAGCACCTGGGCCCTGCGGCAGGCCCTCCCCGAGGGCCAGCCGGGAGGTGGGGCAGGCACCCACAGGCCCTTGCCCCTTTCTCCACAGCCAGCCCCAGCGGCGTCCTGGTCATGAAGTCCTGCGCCCCGACCTGCCCCAACAGCACCGTGACCTCGGACGGCGTGGCCCTCTCCGTCTCCTGCTGCCAGGACAGCCAGTGCCAGAGCAGCGCGGCCGCGGGGCTGCGGGGCGGCCCAGGCTCCCTGGGGGCCACCGCCGCGGCCAGCCTGCTGTGGGCGCTGCTCCGGGCAGCCTGCTGAGCCCACCCGCCAGGGCCGGCCCTGGAATCACCCGAGCCCTCGCAGCCTGCATGGGGTCTGTCTGCAGCACTTGTCTCCCTGTCTCTCCTCCCTGCCTCCCCCAGGCCCCACCAGCCCCCTCCCAAGAGAAGCTCTCCCTGCCTCAGGGAACCATCAGCATGGAAACATCCTCACTCAGCCTTCTCCTGGGTTCCGGGGGTCCCCTGACCATCCAGCAGTGGGAAGGGCGCCTGAATTCTCCCCAGCCCCCTCCAGCCCACTTGAGGGTCTCCCCCTGGGGACCCCCTCTCCCTCAGGCCCTGCCTCTCAGGGCCCCCTGTGCTCCGCGGTGACCCCTACTCCGGTGCAGACGAAGGCAGACCTGAGAGCAGGGCTTCACACGCACCCAGCCGGCCAGCCCTGCCCCACGCGGATGCTCGCTCACCTGCCCACTCCGTTGCTCAGCTGGAGCATCCACACCTCACAGACCCAGGGGACACCCTTGGGGCCAGTGGGCCTGCCTCCTCGGGCTCTCAGGCTGGGGCTCGGGGTGCTGAAGTCCAGGGGTGGGACAGGGTTTCTGGAAAGTCACCAGCACCCCTGCCAGCCCCTGCCAGGTTGGCTGACCACTGCGAGGATGGGCCTATCTCCCTGGGAGCTTTCCCGCAGGATATCAAGAGAGAAAGAATAAAGCTGCAAGGCTGCTCTCAGCTCAGTCTGAGATGTTGAGTCTGGCGGGGGCAGGGTTCTCGTCCTTGGTCTTGAGGACCCCCATGCCTTGAAGGCGGGTGGGGAACACACTGTAAGTGTGGGGGAACTTCAGCGCACATGCTCAGGTGGGGAAGCAGCACTTCTGCTCCTTGAAGAGCAGGGTCTGTCCCCAAGCCCTCTGGCCAGGGTGGCAGAAACACGCTCTTAACAAACCCCGAGTTGGGGGCTGAGTTGGCAGCCCCCAGGGTGCCCCTCTGAGCCTTAGCCTCCCCCAGCGAAGGTGTTCAGCTCTGCATCCCTCTCCCCTGCCCACCCTACCTCCCTGATCTGCACACACCAGGCGCCCAGGGCTCTGGGGCTCCTTCCAGGCCCCCAGGTCTCCAGTTCTCCTGATGGTCTGCTCCCCGGCCCCTCTGCCCAGGGCCTCTGGGAGCCCCCCTACCTGCCCCAAAGGGAGGAAGGCCCTTCTCTGGCCCCAGGGCCTGTGTGCCCAGCCACTGCGGGGCCGCTGTGCCTGTCACAGGGCGGTGGTGGCCATTCTGTCCCAGTGGTCCCAGGACGTGCGGGACAGCAGAGATTCAGGCCAGTGGTGGCGGGGGGCGGGGGGAGGGGGCGCTGCCCTCTCGTGGGGCTTCCTCTTGCTGTTGCACCTTGGGCCATGAGGAGGACAAGACAGGCTGCGGGCGCCCTGCCTTGAATCAAGGCGGTCACTGTTCCCTTGGGGCCCGTCCCTGCCTCCATCACAAGCTGCCTGCACAGCCCAGGCTGGAGACCCAGGAGGAGGTGGGCCAGCAGGGTGGCCATCCCCGCGGCAAAGTTGGAGCTCAGGGCTGGGCCACTCCGCCCAGCCTGAGAAGCTTCGGGTTTCTCTTCTTAAGGAAAGTGGAAATTTCCTTTCTTGATTCTCCTGTCAGACCAACCTCCCCCATGGGGCAGGCCCCACCCCTACAAGTCCCAACAGAAAACCATGTTGGACGCCACCCCACGACTCATGGCCGCCTCCTCTGTGTTCCGCAGAGGGAGTGGGGCCAGGACACTGTTTCTGGATGAAGTCATTCACGTGTCCTCAGATCTCAGAGCTTTCTCGACTGCCCCCCACCCCCCATCCCACCCCCCGCCGGCTCCTGGGGGCTGAGTGGTGCACCAAAGCCTGAGTCCTCTCTGAGTTCTCCCCACCCCTGTCCACAGCTGCCCGCCCCCACCCCCACCCTGTCTCAAGTCCACAGACCCCCGGAGAGCGCGTTGTGCATGGCAGGACCCCACGCTGACACAGCCGGGGCCGACAGGCGAGCTGGGCCCACGGTTTCCCACGGGGGCTGCAGAGTGCTCAGAGGTGAGGCGGTGGCGGCGATCCTGACCGTGGGCAGGCAGCAGGGCGGCAGGCGCAAAGGCCCAGAGGTTGGCAGGGCTGAGCCCCAGCGGGAGACCGGAGGGTGGGCAGCAGACGCCCCCACAGGGCAGGCTCTGGGCAGCGGGGCGGGGGCGGCTCTCAGCCTCGAGCCCCTGCTCCTGCTGCTGTCTTAGGGAGCGGCATTTCGGGTGGCATTGGGGTGGGGCTGCCAGTGGCCGGCTCGGGCTGCGGCCTGTTATTTCTGATGCCCCTAAGGGAGGGCCAAGGCGGGAGGGCAGGCACCAGCTCAGAGAGACCACCGGCCAGCAGGGGTCCTGGAGCCCCAAGTCCTGCTTGTGCCCTGGGGTTTACTCTCAGAGCTGCCTCCTCTGGCCTGGGGGACCCCCCACAAGTCATGTTCTCCCCCACTCCCCAGGGGGCTGCCCCTGCTCCCCTCTTACATAACATCTCCAAGTTAAGATGACACAAACCCCTTGATCCCCTAAGCTCTTGTGATTGAACTCCTGGCAGGCCCAGGTGGGGACCCACCTCCCTGCCCAGGGGCCTGTCCCCACACCCAGAGCAGGCTGCAACAACACGCACACCCCTGGACTGGGCTGGTGCCAACGCCAGGCCCCCAAGGCCACCAAGCAAAGCAGAGAGCACCTGGACTGGGCGGTCCCGGATTTCTCGCTCAGCAGCAGCCTGAGGCCTGGGGCAGCAGACACCGGCTCTCCTCTGCTCTGGGCCACGTGAGGACAACGTGCCATTAGTTCCCAGGCTGCGCGGCTGCCGCGGGGGCCGCTCTGCTGACCCCCATCATCCCAGACCCAGGAATCTTGGTAAAAGGCAGGGTCTGAAGAGAGGCTGTCCACGTCTGAAACCTGGGTCTCACTGACAGGCGGAAGCCCTCTCACCACAACACATGCTTGGGAAAACAGTAGTCCCCATTCCACAGTTCCGTCAGCTGTTTCCAGAGAACCTTTTTGTAAGAAAATTCTAGGTTGTCCTGGCTGTGTTTCACTGGGGTTTAAAGAGTCGCATCACCAAATAAGGGGCCATTTCTTGTTCCCAAGGGGCAAGGGACAGAGTGACGAGGGTGGAAGGTTGTCACAGAAAGAAATTTATACAATGCTCTGGATAAGAGGTGCCAAAGATGGACAGACCAGCAGGGCCCATGATTTTCATTAGATATTTATTACAGTCTTAAGGGTTATAGTTGATGACGTCCTCCCAAATCCTCCTCCTCCTCCCCTGTTTAACATATCAGTTCTGTTCAGTTGCTCAGTTGTGTCCGACTTGGCGACCCCATGGACTGCAGCAATCTTAAGTAAAAAGGGAGTGTCTGCATTTCAGGTGTAGCAAATCCCAGAGCTGCCCACCAACTACCCACAGACCTAAGGCTCTTAGAGCCCCATCAGGTCTCACTCCATAGCCTTTGAGAATGACTAGACGTGTACATAAATGAGAAAGGGAAAAGGACTGAGGACATAGATAAACATCACTGTAACTATCTCCTAGAGGACACATGAGTGGTATGAATGGCTGGGTGGATGGATGGACAGATGGATAGATGGATGCATGGATGAATAAATGGATACATGGAGTGGTGGATGGGACAGTGTGTGTGTTAGTCGCTCAGTTGTGTCCAACTCTATGCAACCCCATGGACTGTAGGCCACCAGGCTCCTCTGTTCATGAAATTCTCCAGGCAAGAATACTGGAGTGGGTGGCCATTCCCTTCTCCAGGGGACCTTCCAAACCTAGGGTTCAAACCCAGGTGTTTGGCACTGCAGGCACATTCTTTACTGTCTGAGCCATCAGAGAAATCCTAGATGAGCAGATGGATGGACAGACGGACAGATTAATGCATGGATGGAAGAAAGATGAATACATAGATAGACGGGGAGATGGAAACATGGACAGATGGATTGACAGATGGATGGATAGATGGATGGAAGATGGAAGAATGCATGGATAAAAGGATAGGTGGCTACATGGATGGAGAGGCATATGAGTGAATGGATGGGGGGAGGATGGCTGGATGGGTAATGGATGGGTGGGTGGATCCATGGATAGAGGGTGGATGGATGCACGATGGATAGATGGGTGGGTGGGCGGGTGGGTAGGTGTTGGGAGCAAGTGATGGCAGCGGACTGAGGGAGGAAGGTGAGAAGGGCCCCACATTCACTACCCTGGAGCCTCTACCCAGGTCTTCAAGAAGGACGCAGCTCACACCTGAGGGCTTTGCCCTCATCAGCCAGATCCCTGAGCTCTGCTGTCCTCTCAGGGATGCAGCCAGAGGAGCTGACAGTCAGGGCCCACGCAGGGTTCCATGGAGAGGTGCCCAGGGCTGGTCCTAGGTGGTGGTGTGGCCAGGGGTCCTGCAGGGTCTCTCCCAGGAGAGTTTGTCTCTCTTGGCCCTCAGAAAGCTAGGGCTCCTGTCTGGCCATTCCTGGCAACAGGCTGCGCCCCAAGGCAGGAAAGGCTGCCCATGTGGCTCCTCCTTGGATTTCCCATCTTGCAGAGCAGGGGAGAGGCCCTGCAGGCAGGCAAGGCCAGCACAGAGGGGCAGAGCTGGCCTGGAGCCCCATCCCCCAGCCCGGCCCAAGGACAGTGAGGGCATCCGGGAGCCTCACTCAGAGTAGGGGGAGGGCCCTGGAGAAGGGCAGCTGGTGGCCCCGGGGTCGGGCTAGGACGGGGTTGAGGGGAGCTTCAGGCCCTGGGAAGTAGCTGGCCCGTGGTCTTGGGTGACAAAGTGATTCTCCTTGACCAGGAGGGAGGAGCAGGGAGGCCTGGCGGCAGGAAGAGCCCCAGGCCAGGGGGCCAGGCCCACTCTGCTCCCGCTCATAGACGGGGCAAGGCCCCGCCCTCCGTGTGTCACTGAGGGTGCCCTGAAAGTGTGGGCAGGTGTGTGACTGACAGGAGCAGAGCAGGCCTGAGACCCGTGTCACTCAGAGGCCTGACTCACGGGGAAGTC